AAAAAAAATTATGATAATTGTTTTTATTTTTCTGTTATTTTTAATTATATTTTGAATTAATTAAATAATAACTTTTTTATTACATAATAACTGCTACTAACTATTCATAGTCACACTACTTGGTGTTATATTTTGAAGTTTTTTTCAAACTATTTATTTAAAGTTATTATTTTTTCAGCTTATTAAAAATGTTCTTTTTATTAAAATTAGTTAATTATTTTGTATAATATAACCAAACATCTTAAAACTGCAATTGCTATAATAATAGTTTCAATAAAAAATTATTTATATTTATATATAATAAATAAATAAATAAATAAATAATATAATCTTTGTCAGGCTCGGATCGGCTCGACTCGGTAAGGCTCGAAAATAATTTTTTTATAGTTTGGCTCGTTAAAACTCAAGATCGACTCGTTAAGGCTTTAACGAGCAGAGCTAGAGCTCGATTTCAGGCTCGTTTACTAAACGAGCTGAGCTCGGCTCGGCTCGTTAATGGCTCGAGCTTGAGCATGAGCACCCTAAGATCGAGCTCGGCTCGACTCGTTAACAGCTCTAGTTGTAACAGAAACTTATAGGTACGTGTAATTTGATAATAAAACTTTACTGTAAATATAAGAAGAATAATATTTTTTTGAAAAGAAAATACTATAAACTAATTGGATTGTGGTTTAATTAAAACTAGTAGAACGTCAGTGTATTACACGGGTGTTTGTTAATTTTTTTTCTTAAAATATAAAATTAATGAGAAAAAAAAAGTTAAAAATTTAAATACCTCTTATAAAAAAAATATGTATATTATTTTATATTTTTTAGTATGACACTTTTTATTTGTGCGACTTACCTGTGTTATACTCTAATAATTTTTTTAACTTACGACAAATAACTACATTAAATACAAATATATCAATTGAGAAATTATTTTATTTTTCTAATGAGTTTTAATAAATATTATTATTTTTTATTATTATAAAGATAAATATAATTTATTTATTTCATATATACAATATAGATGTCAAAGCGAAGATTATCAAAAGATAATTAATTTAATATATTATATATGTAAAATTGATAAAAAATACAAAAATTATCAACTTTTAAAATACATTTATAATTCAATAGCTAATTGGAGGAAGCAAATCAAAAGTCAAGAATATATTAGTCACTTAGTGCCTAACTATGTAAAATTACAAAAAATTAAAGAGTTATATTAGTATAATTGATATTAAAAACCTAAGTTAGCTAAATAATATTTATGGAATGTTCGAACCAAGATTATTAATTATTAATATATCAACGTTATTTGTCCAAACCTAATTACGAATCATGATTCTTCGTCAAGTAGGATTCCGAAGTACCAGAAGCAGCTACGTAGGCTCAGTGCATTCGAGAATTATATATAGGGAGAATATCTCTGATTTCAGAAATTAAATGAACGGCGAGATTGATCGTTGGATATATTTACTGGGAAAAAAAATAGTTCAATAATTAATAAAAAAAAATATTTCCGAATTATGTGATGTTTGAAAAAGTTTCAAATAAGATGTATATTAATCAAATTGGGAACAAATGCGGGGATAGCTCAGTTGGGAGAGCGTCAGACTGAAGATCTGAAGGTCGCGTGTTCGATCCACGCTCACCGCATTTTCCATTTAGTTCGTTTATGGTTTTTGTACAAACTTTTTTGTACCCACATCTTCCCACATCATGTTGTCAAACTTTTTTGTACAAAAAAGTTGTACAAATAGCATATTTCATGGTTTTTTGGTTTGGATTTCAACATTATGTGCCTGGCAGAACTTGACATGGAAGAATATTTATTTAAAGGGGAAAATGTTGAGATGCAGTTGTGTGTTAGAACATCATACCATGGAAAATAATACTACCTCCGTTTTAAATTATATGTCGTTTTGACTTTTTTGATTCATTCATTTTGCTATGTATGTAGACATTATTATTATCTAGATACATAGCAAAATGAATGAATTAGAAAAGTCAAAATTCATTCATTTTGCTATGTATGTAGACATTATTATTATCTAGATACATAGCAAAATGAATGAATTA